TTGTAGATGGTGCCTACAAGGTTCTTGAATTGAGCTGAAGGGCTTGATTTTGGAGCTTAGAAATTTTAATTTTTAAAATTGAACTCATGGCTTTAGTAAAAAAAAGAAAAAAAGCTTTGGAGACCATTTGAAAGAAAATCATTGTGTTCTATTAAAGCTATTGTAAGATCTTGACGTCAAATAACTTTTAGAAATATGTCTCCTCTGATATGACCAAGTTGTGGTTTAATCTGTATTTGAACTTTGAAATAGCTTTTGGATATATGAGATTTGAATGCTGTTTTTTGTGATTATCTCTGTCGCCTCTGGCAGGTACGTTCTGAGGAAAATTCGCCTCTCGAAGTATACGGAGAAGTTCAAGAGCAAAGCGTGCCAAGAGGTATTTTTTTTCTTTATATTTCTGTTCTTGGCTGTTACTCTTGTTTTGTTATTTTCCTTAGAAATTTTCAGCTCTGTGTAATTTCCAGACCAGTGGTTATGGTAACAATTACAACTTATCTTTGGGAGATGAAATCAACGTATATGACTAAAATAATTGGTGACGTTTTTGGTATTATTAGAACTAAACTCAAACTAATCTCTGTAGTCAGTAATTTTCTGTTTTCTGTTTTTGCAAGTTTCACACAGATATATATATTTTTAATTGTCTGAATTGGATTATTTTCACCTTTGAGGTTCTAAATATCCTCATGTATATAGATGACATGCGTATTTGAAAATTTATTGAAGTCACACGACATGACGAAGTATTATCTGCATCAAACTTTTGGCTCCATTATTGGCTAATACATTGATTGAATTGAGGATGGCCTACTAGCCTTAGATGAAATGCTTTCCAAATGCCATCTAATTAACTTAAACTTTGCTCTTCAACTCTGTCTTCATATCTGCATATCACATACTACAGGTGGATTTAATTGCAAATCTTCGCCATCCATACATTCTTGAATACAAAGATGCTTGGGTGGACAAGGTATTGTGTCATTTATTATATATATATATATATATCTTCTGTAGCTTGTTTAAATCTGATACTGAAGAAAAGAAAAGCGACTTTTCATTTTCATATATTATGCAGGAAAGCTGCATATGCGTTGTCACCAGCTACTGTGAACTTGGAAATATGTAAGTGCCCCTTTTAAGGATTTACACTTTTATGCATTGCAAACGCCTTTACTAGTAAGTGAACTGCATGGGAGTGGGGGCATTAAACTTTTAGTTATTTTAAAATATGTAGATCTGAAATTATGAAGAAGGCAAAAAGAGGATCACATTTTCCGGAGGAGGTAATCATATATTGATATTTTTATAAAAGAAGTATATGTATATTTATCTTCATAAGTTTAACTCACAGTGTTTATGGCTTGTTGTTGTAATATGCTACAGAAACTGTGCAAGTGGCTGACTCAGTTGTTATTAGCTATCGACTATCTTCATTCAAATCGTGTCCTTCACAGAGACCTCAAGGTTTGATGGATATGATCATTTTACTGGTTAGTTTTATACTTCAAAATAGTTTGATATTTTCTTGACTCGAATTCTTTTATATAATTTCCAGTTGTCAAACATATTCATCACAAAGGAAAACGACATCCGTCTTGGTAAGGCCGAATCATGTATTTTTTAACAACAAATTATTTGCTTCAACCTTTGCAGGGTTAATTATACAATAAAATGCATTTGAGCTCCAACTATCTTCCCAAATTATAACTTGTACCATAATTTTTTAACAACAAATTATTTGCTTCAACCTTTGCAGGGTTAATTATACAATAAAATGCATTTGAACTCCAACTATCTTCCCAAATTATAACTTGCACCATAATTATGGATATTTGTTAATGCAATACAAGCCTTAAGGCTTAAGGGGTTATTTATAATTCTGAAACCTCATTGTACTTTTTCGTAACCGAGTCAGACCACTATTGTAATATTTGTAACTATCTCTATACGTGATTCAGTTTGTTCACGATATGTAATTCATTTACAGGTGATTTTGGACTAGCAAAACTTCTCAATGAGGAAGGCCTTGCCTCATCGGTATGATTGTAAATTATTAGGTTCTCGAAATATGCTAAGTTACTAGACTCCCTATTTTATTAATGCAGTTATCTTTTTGACTACCGAAGATATTTGTTAATAATCAAACCCAACATGGATTAATTAAAGTTATCCCACAATTTCTTCCTCAAATAATAATGGTTGGTTGCTGTTGTACCTCAACTAGGTTGATGGGACCCCCAATTACATGTGTCCGGAGCTTCTTGCAGATGCACCATATTGCTACAAATCGGACATATGGTCTTTAGGTAATAATATAAATTAATACGTTTACGGTCACAAACAAAACCCTTGAGGTGGGATTCAATTACCAAACGGCATATAACTATTTTTCATAATTACACGAAGTGCGTTTGATTGATTACGGGTACTTTTAATT